CCAGCGACTACTTTTAAATTACATAGCAATTGTTTCTGGTAAAATGCCTGTAGACTTCCTTTACCTTTCAGTGCAACTGATTGAACTCTTTCTCAGGAAAAAATGATACTCCACACCTTTGGTTCGGCTGCAATCGCAGTCATGCACTTGTTGTGCCTTTCAAATGCTGAGCATCCCGATGCTGTCATGCCGTCGGATTCTGATCCAAGAGTTAAAGATCAAGCCACTTTTCGAAGCAAAAGTTGTGAACGGCTGGAGTATCTGGCCCCAGGGTGAACGTGCATACAAGGTTAGCGCAAGTCCCTTGTCACTGTCTCTATACCTTTTTGAGCAGATTTTCTCAGATTACAGATCAACATTCAGGTCTTCGTTCAAAAAGCAACATGGGACGAGGCAGAGGAAATATGCCAGCAGAACGACGCGCACTTGGCCTCTATCGGGTCGGAAGAAGAAAACGATTTCATCTACAGTAGGCTTTTGTGATTCGATATGTTAGGAAACTTCACAAACTTTCGAAGCTTGGTGAAATGAAATATGTACGTGTGCAAGACTGGGATAGAATGAAACCTATCTGTGCCTTCATACTTCTGCAATGAAACAGAGAAACAGATTAAGAGATTGTAGTTGCAAAATGAGATTTCACCTTGTTCAGTTATATGGTTTTGTGTACCCACTCGGCTTTACTCCAGAAAACAACAAATCGAAAAAGTTTTGATCGAAATTCCACTCTGTTTCAGAATTTCTAAGGGACCACTAAGAAGGATCCTACAGTGTAAGATGGTGAAAGTTTCCCAAACCTCACTTCGACGGCCGCATCTATACGTGAAAAGCCAGTAACTTTAGTTGATCGAAGCCATCTGTCAGCCATTCTTTTTCATATGTTCCTACAAAAGACACATCTCGACAACCGATCTCGTCTGCATCTGCGCTATATTCAGGGAGGCTAACACATCACAACTCACATCCGTAGCCCACAATTGAGATCAGCTTTTCTCCAAGAAGAAAAAATGGTTTGTTCAAAGGGTAACCCCTTTATGGATGCCCGGCTACTGTGGACAAGAAGACTTGCTTAGAAAGCGAGGGCCAGTCCTGGTACTTGCGACTTATCGACAGATGCTTGGGCTCTTCCAAAAATTGTCGTTCACCATCGCAAAGATCCAGGCTACCGTAAGGTAGTCTCGAGTAGGAACCACAGCAAGTGTGTGACTCGGTCAAAGCATCAAGAATCAGTATACGCACACATTGCTTCTGCGACCCTCACAGGAAGGAACATCCCAACATGTCATTACTGGAGATGGTAGTAGATTTCAACATACTAACTATACGCCACCGCACCAGTGGCTGTTGTTTGGAGAGCCACCTCAGAAAAAACCAGAGAGTGTACAGTGCGAGAGAGTTTATCTGTTGTTGATGGGATTTGAAAGTGATGTTTTATCCTGTAATGCTTCTGCAGTATTCACCATGACCGCTTTAAAGGAAGCGGTCACGCTGGCTTCCACGCTGGATTTGCTACCCTCGCGTTATCAATCGATAAGGTGTGAGGCAGTAATTGTTGGACGAGTGTAAGCCCATGGAAGATATGATACTGAGATAAGAGTGGTCTTTTCCTAGCTCGCCGATTCCACGTGGGATGTCGGTATACCCGTGTTTCGAAGTCTTCGGTGAGCCCCTATGACCCCAAATGTGGCGAGCGGGCACCATAGCCGACTGGTGCAGGGCTGTGCATGGGGGGGGGGGGGGGGGGGGGGGGTGCAGGGCTGTGCCACGGTCAGCCGCTTATAGTGTGTTCTGTATCCGCGATAGCCTGTTGATTTTGTGCCAATTGTTTTGAAGCACCAATGAGTTACCTTCCTTAGTCCGGGATTATAGCTGGTCCAATAAGTCTAAAGTGTTGGAATGACATTCGGATTACTCCAATTTCACTTTACCTCAATAGGCTGTACTACAACATGGACCTCCTGTCTGACAGACTCTCTTTCTTTCTTACTTCTTTGCTTTTTCTTCTTTTTCAAGTTTACATAGTGTGTTTTTTTTTATTTTGAGAATTTGAGATTTTCTTTGTCTTCTCATTCAATTTTTGAGGGAGGGGGAGAAGGGGCGGGGAGGGGGGGGAAAAGAGGGGAGAGCCCTTATGAGGTACTCGTTGCCTTATAGACTTGTTTCTCTACTTCTAGCTTCCACTTAGCCGAGTGAAAGTATTTTAGATACTTTCGAAAATGATTCAAATCCTTCCTGTTTATACTTGTTTTAAGTTTTCTCTGGTACAGTTTCACAGTAGTACCTGCGGCTCTTCTACGTTGTAGCGCGCATTTCTGGCGCATTCAATAAATAATATAATAAATACGATGAGATAAGAAGGTGCGGCTGCTTGATAAGAGGTGCACTCCAGAATGAAAACGGGACGATAACGATAACGGTATCATATCTAGCACGCTCTTATCGCACCCCTTTCCACATCGATAAGTCTTGGCTTTTGCTATCCGGAAGTGGATTTCGGCGGAGTTGATAAGGCGCCACTGCCACTGAAACTTCACGTGTTGTAACACTGGGCAGGACCCTATCCACTCCAATACATAGCTTCCCTTATCGTTCCCATGAAAATTATCGTGACCACTTCCTTTAAAGGAAGCGATCACGCTGGCTTCCACCCTGGATCTGCTACTCTCGCGTTACTCCCCACCGATAAGGTCGGATAGGATTCAAGTTCGGCGCAAGATCGTTACCCTCCCTTAAAGGCAAAAGTCGGGCTCAATAAGGGGGTATTATGGCGATTGAAACTGAGTATAGAGATGCGAAGTGGAACGACAGTGGAGAAAAAACTGAGAAAAACCGTCGACAAGGCCGTTAACAAAACCCTCTTTCCCACTAGCAGTGAAGGAGGCTGGCTTGGGGAAGAGGCACGTACAAACAAGTTTTCTGAAGATATCAGTCGTTCTATCGGTTGATACGGCAATCAACCTAGCTGATTTCACACGTTATGCCAGCCACGCACCACATCCCGAGGTGGGCGGTCGTAGCGGGGCCAGGCGGCGATAGCGCATAGTACATGCCCTGGGGCCTTATTACCGCGCCGTTTCGGATTTTGAGCGTGGGAACATCTCTACGGGTGCGTAACCAAGTACAGGCATGACCGAAAGGGTTGGTTTGGTCAACTAATCCCGACCTTTGCCTTTAAAGGAAGCGATCACGCTGGCTTCCACGCTGGATTTGCTACCCTCGCGTTATCAATCGATATGATACGGTGAAGATATGATACGATGAGATAAGAAGGTGCGGCTGCTTGATAAGAGGTGCACTCCAGAATGAAAACGGGACGATAACGATAACGGTATCATATCTAGCACGCTCTTATCGCACCCCTTTCCACATCGATAAGTCTTGGTTTTTGCTGAACGGAAGTGGATTTCGGCGCCTTATCACTCCGTTGATAAGGCGCCACTGCCACTGAAACTTCACGTGTTCTAACATTGGGCAGGACCCCTATCCACTCCAGTACACAGCTTTCCTTATCGTCCCATGAAAATTATCGTGACCACTTCCTTTAAAGAAACGATATCATAAGATAAGGAAATTATGCTGAGGATGAAGACACTCTAGAATGAAAATCGGGACGATAACGATAACGGTATCATATCTAGCACGCTCTTATTGCACCCCTTTCCACATCGATAAGTCTTGGTTTTTGCTGAACGGAAGTGGATTTCGGCGCCTTATCACTCCGTTGATAAGGCGCCACTGCCACTGAAACTTCACGTGTTCTAACATTGGGCAGGACCCCTATCCACTCCAGTACACAGCATTCCTTATCGTCTCTAAGAGAATTATCGTGGAGAAAAAGAGGAAGAAAATCCTGAAACACACGGGAATTTTGCTCTACGCTGTGGAGAAGTTCAAAAGGCCGGCAGGGAGATGAGAGATAATGTGAGCGCGGAGAGCGGTAGAGAAGTCCGAGAAGAGAGAGCATAGCAGATCAACATTGCGACGCAGACAAGATATCGAGCGGTGGGCGGAGCGTGTCGCAACAGGTGGAGCGTGTCAAAGTCCTTGGCCCTAGCGTCTTAGTGACGCATTTCGATGCAGGAACGTGGCGAGTCGCCTGCAGTTGCGTCCCATGCACTTCTAGCCACTTAAGGGCTTATTAAGTGGGTCTGAGCCCGAACTTTGCCTTTAAGGGCACGTATCTCAACTGCAGAAGCTGGGTGACGCTATCCGATGGGAGCACCCAAAATGCGGAACATTCTTCTTATTCGCGACAACGCCCGATCCCATGTTCCAAAGCGCTCACCACAGTTATCGAACATCAATAGGAGACGCTACTCTACTCAGCCTACTCGCTAGATCTTGCTAATCCTCATTACAATGTGAGCGTGCGCTTGAACATTACCTTCACGAAGAAAAATTTAATGATTACCCGTGCTCGAAAATTAGATCCTCAACTGCTTTGGTTTGCTGCCACCACAGCTCCGTGTTTTTGGAGCTGAAAATATGCCCCAACGTTGGGCGCATGTTGTGGACCATGACATATTGTACATTAGCACTTTATGGACGGGAGCAATTTTGAGTGAATGAGCCTGAGGTCGTGCGGCTTTTTTTCAGCCTCCCGCACCCATAGAGTAGGTTTTGTGTAGGCTTATTTGCTGAAAAACCATTTTCTTGTGCGTGAACTTCATAAACTATAGGATTCTAAGATATTGATACGACTATCTAGTGAGGGGAGGTTTAGTTAGTAAATAGAAGCTACTGCAAGCTATCTTCGTACACTACGAATCAACAACTATGAGGGACGGAAAGGACATGAGGAAGATCTCGGGTAGGCAGCCATCTAAGCAGCTAAGCCTTCAAGTATAAGGAAAAATTGGGATATGAGAGCTTGTAGCAAACTCAGCACGATATTTCAACGAGAGAGCGCAGACGAGAGCAGAAAAATTGTAGCTTACGCGTGAAAGTGAAATGGGAAATGGATCACTTTGAGCAAAGTCCACACTAAAAGTTTCTTACTTGTTCCTACTTAAAGAGAAATCTGCGTCGAGGAAAAGACGAGGGGTTTTTTTCTTCACTTGAAACAGGATTCTTTGTACAGAACTGCTATTACTGCAAGGAAATTCATTGAAACCTCTTGAAAATGCATTAGGTACGCATCTCTCGGCTGTCGCTGACACAATCAGAGACACTCAGCTCTATTTGGTTTACTAGTCGCTATATTTTGAGTCCACTTCAGCATACAGAGCATTGTTCCGGCTCACGTCCTCGCTCGGAAAGGAATCCTCGGAAAGTGCCCGGTTTGTCGTTTCCCCTTCACCCGTGATACGCTCTTCGAAGTTGCGGTCGCTAGCTATTCACCTGCACTGATGTTCTACTTATAGAGATACATCGTGGACACTTTTATTTTCAATACAAATGTTGGCTAGGGTTCGTCCATCCGTCTCCGGTGTCCTTTTACTTCGCCTTCTGAGATACTCATGTACGTTATAACGAGGAGGGCTGAAGAGCATAGGTGATGGGACCCGTGCAAATAATGAATACTGTTATATTCTCTCACGCACTGAGGTTCAATGAGAGAGGTGGGAAGGCCCCCCACTTCCCCTAAACCTGGATGTCACGGGGGGCACGAAATCGCACGATACTGATGCATGCAAGTACGAGCCCCCCTCGCCTTCCAAAAAGCAATACGACCCCCGTCGAGGAATTCCTCGCGCCGACATAAACTCCTGGTACAAAGCCTAACGACCCGAATCGGACGTTTGAGATTGAGAAGATGTGGTTCAACTCCTGCTTTGACAATCTTCGTCGCCTACGCACCAACATCCAGCTACGAAGAAGAACACGAAGCATTCTATATGGAATTGGAGAAGTTCTACAGGGAAGATCATACCTTCTTCAAGGTCATCGTCGGCGACTTCAACGCTAAGATTGGCCCAAGAAGAACGGCTGAAGAACTTCACATCGGTACTCACGGAATGGAATGGAATGAGCAGGGTGAGAGACTGTCGGAGTTTATCATGTCGACCAACACCATCCATGGTAACTCACAGTTCCAAAAGCCCTTTGGAAACTATGAGTGGTAAGGTTGGTCTACAGCTGAACCTAACGAAGACGATGTTTATGAGAAACGGATTGGTTCCTGATGCCCCATTCACGCTCAACGGAACGAACATCACCGAATGCTCCAGCTACGTGTACCTAGGTCGGGAAATCAATATGATGAACGATAGTCGAATCAACACAGTTCAGATGGCTCTGGAAACCAGGAATCAAT